GTCTCAATAAACATTTTTATTTATAGAAATACTTCAAAAAATATTCTGCTTTAGATTTTGAAATTAAAAATGTATGCTGTCATTAAAAAAATAAAAAGTTATATTACATTTGAACCCGCATCTATTTATCGATTTTATTATTATTTATTACTTCATATATTAAACTTAAGATTAATTATCACAGCAATAATAAAATATCATTTCAAATCCTACATGTATGCCTTTATACCTATATACGCCTTTAAATATATAAATAAATAAGTTTAAAAATAAGTTACATTTGTTAGTAGCTTCCTTTCTAAACTAGAGTTGTTTCATTTCTTCTGAAAATTACAATCACTATTCACAGCTAAGTTTGATTTAATTGTAAAATACATACTATTATTATATTATAACGCTTTTCATTTTATAGTTTTGAATAACTTTTAACCAGAATTACATTTATACTCAAGTTACACTAATATATAATATACGTTTGTTTTGTGGAATTTCCACATATTAGCATTTGAATTGTTTGTACAGATAAAATAACTCAAAATTAAACAGAAGTATACGTATAACCGAAAATCACATACGAAAACTTAAATTTTGAAAGTCTGAAGTTTAATTTTCTGTACATTTTAGCTTACTTGATATATAAGAGTGTTTCGAAGACTATATTATATTATTAAACAGTTATTTATTACGATAATTTTTGCAGTTAAAACAATATAAAATTTATTTTAAATACCTAAATAGATACTTTCAGTCGGCTTAAGTAATGAAAATGAAAAAAAAAAAAACACGATGGGTTATTTTTTTTTTGTCGTCCCTCGGATGTCCTCGGCCATATATAGGTATATACAAAATCTACAGTACAATTATAATAATATATTATACGCGGACGAGCTTAAAGTCCGTTCGGCCGACCATAAAATGAATACGAAAATCTGCTCTTCCCCGCCGCCCGGACGCGTTCGTTACTATAATATAATAATATTATTATCCTTCCGTCGCATTAACACCACCGCCGCGCGCGTACACGTTATTCGGACCGGATATACGCGATGCAAAGGGACAGCGGACGCGGAACAGTCATCGCCTCCGTCGTCGCTTCGCGCCATATACTAACCACCGTATATATCTATTATATCCGTATTATTACTATTATTATTATTATTATTATTATGATTATTATGATATGCATACGACTACGGTCTAACGGATAAAAGTTGCGGTAATAATTATATTGCGTTTACATTATATATATATATATATATATACATCATATCATATTAACTGCAGTCGGTGTAGCGTCTCTCCGTCGTCATCGTCGTCATCGTCGTCGTCGTCGCCGCGTCTGTCGCGAGTGCTACGGCGGCGGCGGCGGCGGTAATCGGTTTACAACACACCGGCGCGCGCGCGAGGATTACGAGGGTGTAAAATGGGTGTGTGGGTCTGCGGTTGTGTAGGTGTGTGTGAGTCGTGTACACACACGCGGAACAAGGATAGCGGTCGGCAGACGGGCGCCTGGCCATCATATTGTCGCCGTTCCTTCTGTTCGCGTCGGGTCGACGAGCTTTCTGCATTATATACCGCTGCGAAATCGCTCGGACGCGTATTTCGATATAATATTACACACACACACACACAAACCGATCGTTGTGTCTGTGTTCGCGCGCGGAGAGTGAGAGAGACGAAATCGTTATATTGTTATCGTCATCCGTTTAAATCGCGGTCGGGCGACGAGGAAGGGGATGACGAGAAGCAGCCGAGTTTATAATATTATACATATTATTATTATTATTATTATTATTACTATTACGCGCTGGCTGGCCGTGGAGGCGGCAGACGATATTACAAGAGGAGGAGACTCGGAAGGGCCGGGCGACGGAGGAGTGTAATATAATAGTAGCTGTTATTATTATTATCATCGTTGTTGTTGTTGTTTTGTTTTGTTTTATACAATACTATACATATATATATATATATGTGTGTGTACGTATTGTGGGCATGTACACGTTATATTGCAGCAGTCTTATGTATGTATGTTTCATAACGCGCGACGATATTGTTCCGTTTTTAATTCGAATGTGTTCTTTAATCGCGTTCTCCGAAAAATAACATCTATTTTACTGCCCGACGCGCTGCTGTGTTGTGGTGAAGACGTTCGCGTCAATATGATAATATTCTCTTCTCGAAAATCGCATTATTTATGTTTTGCTCGCAGCATCAGGATGAACGTTGCGGGGTACGAGAAACATTATACGTTCGTAATGATCGGGGCGGACACATATGCAATACGTGATTAATAATAATAGTGATGCAGTCAGAAATAAGCTGTACGTAATAATATTAGTGCGAGAAGAACAAGACTGATAATCGGAAAAACTGCGCGCGTCCTTAAATTGGCCATTATCCTCGTCACGTTCTATATTATAACGGATTGTTTTTAATATATCTAAGAACCGCAGTGGCATCAAAAGAAAATGTTTGAACTTAACGTTCTGCTATACATATATACGGTTATTAGATACTTGCAAAACGATTACGTGGAATAGTCACTATTGGTAGGTTTTTCTTAATCCCCTTGGGTTCATTATATACGATTATTTTAATTATTGCGGGTTGAGCTAGTTACGTAAAATTAATAAACATATTTTAAAAATGCATACGCAATTAAGTTCTTTAGAATTATAAAGTGTTTTTGGTTCAACTCGTTAAAGATTGTCAGCTGGTAATAAAAATACCACATTTCAATAATGATTCAACAGTAAAACGACTTGTAATTGAACGATATTTTTAGTTTTTAATAGTATTTTATTATATAATACGTATGCGTATTTTAACTTTAAGTAGACTAAAATATATTATATTTTATCTACTTTAAATTTAACTGAATTTAAAACCACATTGTGTACTTAAATTTTTCAGACGAATACAGTAACACTAATGTATGAGTAAGCATCATCAAACATATACAAAATACACCATAAATTTTCAATGTAAAAACAATACTGATTAGTATTGTGTCTAACATTACTAAAAATTAAAAATATGAACTGTATGTAATCACAATATAGGAGTGTATATTAACCATCGTTTTATTTAATTTTATTTATTCAAACAATTATTATAGTGTAATATTATAATAGGCAGTGTTTTTTTTTTTTATTAAGTTATTTAATTAATGGAAAAAAAGTATTTGTATTAGCTAGCCATAAATACATTATATTATTGATTTGTGTAATTACATATTGTTTTAATAATGCTATTTTTAAAAACTATCAGTATTAATAATAGCATGTAGGTATATAAGCTAGCTTATGATTTATTAACACAATATTATGAAAACGTATCGTACAAATGATTTAAATTATCATACTGATAATTGTTTCATGTCGTTGAATGCATAATGAAATTTATAATAATTACGAGTGTGGAACACAAGTTAGTCGTCCGGAGTCACATTCAAATGCTAATAGAAGTCCAGTTATCCATATTATAATATTAATGGTGGGTATGTTTAATGTGCATATAGAAATGCGGAATACAAATGAACAGTTCAGTTTATTGAATAAATACTAAATTTGTAACAATTAACATTGTAAATTGTAATATTGCTTCGATGTAACTGCAATAGAATTTTTGTTGTTTTTAGATCAGTGTTTTCTTATTTAATAGATATATACTATGTATAAGTACTATTATTACTATCTTACTGTTCTACTGGGGTACCATAGCTGAGTGCTTTAATAATTATAGTAAACGATTTTTGGAGTCCTAACGAATAGATGATAAAAAAGGGAAGTTAAACAAATGTTCTAATAATATAATTTATAACATTTTTTTTTTTTATATTTTATATTATGTACGTACGTATAAAATGGCAAATATGCCCAAATGTTTTTAAAACTGCATACGAAATAAAACCAATGACATATCTAGTTGCATATTTAATTAAAAAATATTAGGTACCTATTAATTGTTTATGTATTTAATGAAGATTCATATATCATTTGTATTACAAGTTAATTTATTTTAAACTACAGAAAAAAAAATGGTTTTAATAATATTTCTTACCTTTGTTATCTATCATTTAAAGTTTAGCTAGAACGACTAAAATTCTAATTCAAACTAATTATGCAAACAATTTTTTAAAGTTTATATTATACAAAAAATTGTTAGAAAATTGTTATTTATTAAATCACGTTCTTATAGTTATTACTTACCTATCGTGGTATAAAAATTATTTTTATCAAACTGTTATTCATTTGTCATGTATAAACAGTAGATAAATTAATTACAAGAACACACTATCAGACAAATATATAATAACTATATGATACTATTTTAATTCCCAATGCATCACTTTACTGTTACGGTAAATTAAACTTTGTTATAAATCTAAACAGGATTAAAAATGTTTACTATTCAGCGGTAACAAAAAAATAAAAATAAAAATAATTTATACTTTATACTTAAAAAAAAAAAAAAAATCTTTATATGCGTAGTTGTACTTAAGGTTGTTCGAATTAATCTTTGGTGGAAAATATTTGTAACTATTACGTGTGTATACGTATCGTATTATACATCTACCCCATATTATTATAGCTTGTGAATAAAATTCAAATAAAATAAAAAATGTCCATCTCGTAATAATGCGGTTCATAAAATATTTTACTGTTAAATGTCAATTACAATATTGATTATCTCTATATTATTATATTGTACAGCAGTAAAAAGCGACAACGAGCAGCGTAGACTAAAACAAAGAGCAAAACTATGGCGAATCGACTTCAAAACAAATTTCGCCTCATAGACATTTTAAAAAATCGCAGATGACATATCTGCAGTTTGTGGTAAACAAAAAAAAAAAAAAAATAAAATAAAATAAAAAAATAAGCAAAACAAAACTTGCGTTCACGTTTTTTTTTTTTTTACACGGAGCAAAACGCGTATAATTATATTATGTGTATAGTATATAGGTATGCCGTCAAACTATTGCACTTAGGTCATTATTATTTATCATTAAATTTATAAAATTCTTCGTACGGCGACGACGGCGGACAACCGCAGCCGCACTGCGACGGTAGCGACGGTGCTGGGCCGCCGTATCCCGATCCGAGGCCGTACGACGGAACCGAAGGCCGGTGGACGTCGAACGACAGCGGTTTCAACATGACGGGTATCAGCTTCGGCAGCAGCAGTGGTCGTTGCGGGGGCGACACGAACCCGGCCAAGTCGGTCGGCGACGGGCCGCTAACCGACGGCCGTGGCCCGCCGGACGGACAAGACGGCTGCTGCACGCACCGTAGTAGCACGGCATGTGGAACGCGAAGGACCACGCACACCGCGGCGGCCTGGGGCGGCTGGTGCTGCTGCTGCAGCTGCAGGGCAGGGGCACGGGTCGGGGCTCGGGTCGGACGAGCAGCGGAGGCCGGGCCAGGACGTGGACGCGGTCGGCCACGGCGAGTACGCGGCCGTCTGGTAGGTGGCGGGTTCCGTTTCCGGGGGGCCGCTGCAAGGCGGTACGCGGCAAGTGCAGGTTCGCGTGCACGTCGGCAGCTGGCTGTGAGGACGCGGACGCGGACAGCAGCACTGCGGCTGCCACGATCCACTGCAGGTGCAACCTTCGCCGTCGGAGTCCGTACGGTCGAGTGCCGTCGCACCGAACGGTTCCGCGGTGCGACATGTCGACGGGTTTTTGTACGAGCCGTACGAGATCGGCGTGACCTGGACGGTAGGAAAACAATAAACAAAAAAATAAAAATAAAAACACGCGTCGCACAGCAGACCAGTGTTTCCCAACCTTTATGACGCGGCGGCGACTCGTTACACTTTATATTATCACATTACGCTGTCGCTTGCCAAGCGACCCGCAAAAAGAATAAAAAGTCTAGTCGTGCCGTCGTTCTGTGGAGATTATGGGTTTCAGCGTTGTAGTTATAAAGTTTATTCTTCCGGTCTCATGAAAATATATCAATGTGACTCTTAAAACCAATAAAAAAAAAAAAATTCAAGACCCCGTGGGTTGGAAAACACTAGACAGCGATAGGCCGTGCTCTGGTTCGCATGTGACACGATGTTATGGTGTACGTTTGTTTTTGAAATAATAATTCATAATATCGCTGCGAGACGATGTCACTTACCTCGATGGCTGAGATGGTCACTGTTGCGGACAGTACAGTCACGACTATTGTCAAAGCGTTCATTTTTAAATAGCCCCGTAGGAGACGGACGGTTGTAGATTGTGAAAAGTTTGCGAACGGTGTTTGGATTTTATACTAAAAATATTTGCAAATTGTTGTCCATAATTTCACGTTTCAAGAAAAAAAAAAAAAAAAGTTCGTTGAAAAACTGATTGCACAAATGCTATCGACCGCGTATTTGTTACAAATATTATTATGTTTATTATTTGATAAAAATGCGCTGAGTGATTTTTCGTCTAATTATAAGGGTCATTGGTCTATTTTAGATATTAAAAGTTATTGATTTTATAACACGTTTCAGTTATGTTAATATACTTTGATCAAAAAACACATCATGCATGAATAAGAAAAATTTCTCAATTTTCCCTTGCAACATATGCGTAGGTAGATAAATGCTCTGTTTTATTATTATTATTATTATTTACCATGCGAATATAAAAATACTTAAACTTATTTTGTTTTTTTTTTTTAAATTGTTAAATTGTAAAATTAGGATAAGTAACAACAATACACAAGTTACGAGTTTAAAGTTAATATTTTTATAATCCTAGTCTAAATTGTTTTATTTTCTCTAACCTAACAAAATTTTAGTATACGATAAGATAAAATAATTAAGATTTTAACTATATAACTTTATTGTTATTATTTTCTAATCCCAACACTTCTTTTGTTACATAATTATGCTTATAAACCTATTTACGTATGACAGTATAATCTATACATTTTAGATTCTAAAAACGACAATGTAAAAATTAATTTTACGACTGTGTTTTTTTTTTTTTTTTGTGGGAAGCATTGGAGTTTTGATTGAAAACAATTTCAACAAGTTATAGTTATTTAGATTTAAAACTAGCCACATTTTAAAAAGGTTATTTTTTAGAAAAAGCTAAGATAAGACACCTCAAAAAATGTTAACAAACGATAGTAAATTTAATTATGATAACACATTTTTATTGCTCCATTCGTTAATGTTTTTATAAATATTTCAAATTTAAATATGAAAGCGTTCCAAGAGTTTCTCCAACTTATATTTGGAATTTCATATGTATTATACGCATATAAATAGACTGTGTATTTATGCATTTTATTAATTTATATACATTATTTATTTTAAATTATACAAAAATAAATGATAATATAGTACAATTATAATTGTTAAGACCTTTAGATATACAAGTACATAATAAAACAATATAAATAATATGTAAAACATAAACAAAATAACTGATTTTGGATTACTCTACTGCTACTTTACTGTACAAGCACACTAATAATAACTACCATAGTTACTGGGAGTTTGAAAGGGGATGAATACATTGGTCTCTGCTTTCAAATAAACGATTGGTCCCCAGGGTTCGCGCAAGCTGTGTTCAGACATGAGTTTATCGTATAAAAAAATAACTATTTTTTACGAAGTAAATATGACAGCCATTTTCATGACTCTTTAGGGACTTTGTAAGCAACCTTCATTCAAAGTCACAGTCAACAGAAATTTTTGACTAAAAACATTGGATAAATGCCGTAAAACATAATTTAATTCTAAGATATTAGTTATCTCTTATCACTTTGAATTGATAAATTAAGGATTTATAAATATTTTATTTTATTATTTCATTTAAAAAGTTGTATGTCTGTAATTAATGTTCGTAGTGGTTTTTATTTTTAACTTATTAGTTTAGTGTTTAATTTATAACTATTTTGAAAACTTTCATGAAAAAGAATGAGGCTCAGTTCAAAATCACATAAAAAAACAAATTTAGTGAATTACACAATATCGAAAAATGATGCAACTAATATCATTTATCACTTTATCAGTGATTATAATATTACGTTATTTATTAGGATTAAAATTAAAAACAACAAATTATAATAAACATTTTGAGTATAATAATTAATATGCGTAATAAATTTTGAAGAATACCATGTATGCTATGTGTCTACATATGTCAATTTTACGATAGTACTATATATTTTAGTATGAAGAGTGTACTTTTTAGATTTATATACGTATAATTCTTATACATTTAACTGGTAAAAAAAATCAGTGTACCTATGTTATTGTTTAGATCTGTTGCAACACTTGCAACAATAGCAAACGTTACACGGCACGTTTATTACGGTGTGCCTAATTCAAATAGGTACATTATACACGCGCATAATATTATATAGGTACGATGTTGTATCATTTGCACAACTCTATTAAAAAATAATAAATTAGTTGTCATGTCGACTAGTACACGAATACATGTACTTATAATGAGATAACGCATAGCATACAATTATTATTTATAGGAATTGTACAATAATTGAGAATCAATATTTTACACTTGGAAGTTATTCATTGTTGAAAACCATTTAAATGGTTATATTATTACGTTGAAATTCACATAAATTGGCACGTATGCGGCCAAAGTTAGCGTCCCTCGACCTTTAGTTGAAGGACCGAGGTAAAATAAAAATTAAATACTGTCATTATTGTAATAAGCATTTATTTTTTTTAAATAAATTAGGAATACTCATTTGAAAATCGTGGCTGGAATGGTTATTAATGAGAGGGTTTGGGTATTGAGTTAATCGGCTATTGAAACGCTTATAATATAGTTTGGCTAGTTCAGTTACAGTTGGCATTTTGAAATTAGAATGGAGGGATTTGTTAGAAATATAGAATGGAGCTTTTGAAACGATATGAAGAATTTTTGTATGGAGTCTTTGAATACAATTAATGTTAGATATTTTTGCTGCATCCCAGAGCTAAATATCATATGTCCAGATGGGTCTTATGAGAAGTTTGTAGATTAGTAGTTTATTGAGTAGTTTTAATTTTTTGGATGTTAATAAGGGTCGTAAGAGACAAAGACCGTTGTTTAGTATGATAATTTTGCGTTTGATGTATGATGGCCAAGGTAGTCGACGGTCGATGTGAATTCTAAGATATCGCACACTTTGCCTATTGGGCATTAGGTAATATTTGGTTGTTAAGGAAAAGTATCGAGCATGTGTCATGTCGAAGAGTGGACATAAAATGAGTAGACTTTCTCTTGTTCATTTTTACTACCCGTTCTTTATACCATGTTTCAAGAAGGTGGAGATAGTTTTGTAAATAGAGAGAAGTTAAGTTAGGGTCGGCGCTACTAGCTATTATAACTTTGTCATCTGAAAACCATTTACTAGGGTTTGGTTTAAGTTGAGCTGATCGGATATGAATAAGTTAAAAAGTAATGCGACAGTTTATATAAATCTGATAGCTAAATTCCGGGCATAAGATATAGACAGACCACAATAGTTGTTAATTTCTTGGTTTTTTTACTTTTTGTTATTTTTATTAGTGCACAGCGACAATAACTATATTTCATTAATAATAATAAATAATATAATATCACGTTGATTTAGTAGTTTTACCGTTTTTGTTTATTTTTATTATGCATGTCAATATATTGTTTACCAATCATATTTTTCGAGTTGATCGTCTATACTGTCTATAGGAACGTATTAATTTGTTAAATTTATTTAGATAGGTATAACGTATAACTTTGAACGCCCAAATTTTAATAAACAAATTAACAATGTTGTTACTCGAAATATTCACCCTCACATCTGTGATACTCGTATATGATATCGGTTTATCAGCGACACCTCTATCTGAGTTTCAGCGTCTAACTGAATGTGGCAGTGTAGAGGTGAATATTGTAAGTGATTTAGAATCTCTGTTTAGAATGTTTTAACATTATGTTATACGTTTTAAACTAGTGTTTCTCTGTATACCTACTATATTAAAACACTATATATCCATATACATTACATATACTTGCAATTAACACAAGGTTATTCTATACAGATTAATTGCTTATCTTAGATAATAGCTTTAATAAAAATAGGATTCAATTACATAGCATATTTTTTTTTAATTTCAAGTATAAAATAATTTTATAAATATTGTAATAGTATTTTAGACAAAGACGACTTATATTTGAATATTTTAATTTAATTTAAATTATTGATTAATATTATAAAAAAAAAAAAAATAAGTTCTGTTATAATATCTATCTATAGTTTCCTTATTTTTTTTTTTTTTTATGTCTATAAAATTTTCCCTCGTACCAAGTGAAAGTTTTCTAAATATTAATTTTTCTTGGTCCTTATTCGTCCCTGTAACTACCAATTTATAAAAAGTAAATTAATTAGTATCACACTTTGTATATTTGCATTAAGTATTGAGCATGTTAATAGATAATTTGTTCTTTATCTATGATATTATAATTTTGGGTTCTTCTGTTTACAAATTATCATGGTGTTTAATAACAACTCAAATACCCACTTATTATAAACTATAGTAAATGCATTATGTATTTATGATATACAGTTAGAACAGCCAACATTTTAAGTATAAGATACATTTATATATAATTTTATACTAGGTATTACAGATGTACATCCTGATGCTGTTGAAGACCAAGTGAGTTGAAAAAACTAAAAACTACAAATTTTATTATTTTTTAATGTATAAAATTAATAAATATTTATTAAAAAATATTTTTCCAGAAAATTTTAAAACATAATAAGAAAATCAAGCACTCAAAGTTGTATTTCGTTGGTGTTACACTTACATTACTTTTTTTGCTCATTTATTATGAATATAAAGTAAATACAAATAAATATATATATATACCAAATATGTGCAGTATAGTTCACTAATATATACAAATTTCAAATAATTTGGTGGATAATATAATTTGTCAAATACTTAGTAAATCTTTGTGGAACAACTTCTATGAAATATTATGTATACTTAAAAATTAAAAAAATATATTGCTATATGAGCAATAAAGCAATAAATATTGAATATTGCTTCAAAAAAAATAAATTTATAACTATCTTTTTTTTTTAAATATTGTAATTATAATTAATAATCTTATTTATTTTGTTAAACAGCTTTATTATGTTAATTATTTTTAGAATATATCATATAAAAATCGCTTGTTAAAAATAATTGCGGCCGATAATGAAAATTTGGTAATTTTTAAAAAAGAATTATCATTATTAATAGAACTAAACCGTAGAAATACACAATCCGTACATTTTTATGAAGTTACAATATATTTAAATGAACTTTAATTAATAATTTTCTTTTTAGATAACAGAAGAAGTAATGTCACAAAAATGTAATCCAGCAGATAGCAAAGAATTTTTATCTTCAATTAAATTATCGGCTAAACTGAAATCTGCAAAACACATATCTAAAGGATACAAACACAAATTAAACGAGGCTTTAAAATCAAATCAACATCTAGGTTAGACAATAGACATACTTTAATAATTTTTTTTAGTGATTAATATTTAAAAACTAGAAAAATAATTATTATTAAGGTAATTAAATAACATTATGTATAATAATTTATGTAAAATAAAAACAGGCGTGATATTTAAAAAAAAGAATTTTCATTTATTAATATTAAGTTTTACAATAAATATTTACAAGGTTTACAATTTTCTAACATTACCACTAAACGGGTTATATGTAATAATTTGATTGAGTAATATTAAACAATAAGCTGCAGTCTTTTCTGGAATAACTGTATCCGTTTCAAATTCTATTCATAGGTCTACGGTCGACGATTTAACGTTATCATTCTGATGTGACAAATCGACAACGACGATTGAAACATAGTTTTGAAAAATGTTTTGATAACAATGGTTCACAATAATCTCTTTCGTAATAAGATTTTTGAAAGTCTGTATAAGCTTTGTAGAGTATGCTAGGGGTATTATTTTTAAAACCGCATCGAAAGTCTTCATATGGATACACTTCAGAATTTAAGTGTACTTTAAGATTTTTTACCTAACAATGATCGAATTGTCCAGCATCGGTTTGTATATTTTTTTTTCGATCTGTTTGTAATCCAAACAAAATAAATCTAGGTTTTTCAAGCAAGCTTCTAGATTTTACAGTCCACGAATGTGAACTATTTCTACGAAGTACTGGATATTCACATAGATCCCAGGTTCTGAATGCGCACGATAGTGTTTCACCGGAATCTATTACTTTTATCAATTTTAATTTTTCTTTATCGCAAACTTTGATAATAGGCATTTTCCAAGCCACCTTTGTCAGTTCAATCGTATTTTTTTTATTTTTCTCAACGTTTTGAGTGGCTCCGACACCAACAACATGTATAACATCTAAATCAGTAGACGCGCGATTTAAAATCAGCTGTTGATTGCAATTGAGTAATATTTTTTTATAATCTTCACAAAATCCGAATAAATGTTTTAGAGGGATACATCTGGTAAATACATTATCTGTCATAAAATGTTTGTTATCTTCACTGTCCATTTTCGAGTCCCAAGCACAGTTGTCTAACGCATTCAAGTCATTGGGAGTATAAGAGCAGTATGCTTTCAAACAAGACGACACTCCGGGTGTTTTCAATTTTTGTATTTCTATTCCGTTTATTTCATATCGCATTTCAGAGAATAAAAACGTCAATCCATTATTCGAAAAACGAACTTCTCCAACTGCATCGGTAGGTTTATTTACTTTCCCCTCTAGGTAAATATAACTTTCACACGGCAAAGTGTAAGAATCCATGTTTTGAACATTAATTCTACCTAATTTCTTCGTTGTGCGATAGAGCAGCGCTTGAATACGGCGTGAACAAATGATATTGCATTTGTGTTATTTTACAATCGTCGACATAGTCGACCATTACGTCTAAATATGAATCATCCATTATTGTAACGAACGAAGAAAAATTAAATTATTTTTCGTGAGCTTGGTTTTGATTATTTTAGGTTTAGTCTTCTTCACTGTTGACACTATACTGACGGGTTTTTTTATTGTAACACTTTTTATATTAAATTTGAGCGCCATAGTCGTGTGTTATTTGTAAACGAACTGTTATTGGTTCACCGTGCAGATTAATTAGGCAATCGTTTTGATCTTTTAGTAAAATATTTACTTTACTTATTGAAGTCGTGTTTAAAACGTACTTTCAAACGTATTTGAAATAATACAACGCAATAAACTATAGTTAAAAAAAAAAAAAACTCGGTAGCTTTTATATATTGATACTTATTTTTGAATATTGGTTATCAGTATGAATTAACGTTTAATAGAACCGTTTAAAAATTATTTTTACTTATTCTATCGTAGTATTCAATTATTTAAAATAATTGTATATCAACAATCTTTACCGTGTACTGGTAACTAACGGACGAACGGTCACAACTGACGATGTTCTAAACTAACTTATGTTTATGTTGAAACCTACAACCGGAACACAAAAAAATCCTAAATCCTTGTTAGACACGAAACCGATAACTTGAAAATGTCATACGCGTTTCGCCTACCCAATTATGTACGGAGACGCGCGTACCAGCGGGCACCAATATGATATATCGTGTTATGCTATGTTATATCGTATTGGTATATTATATTAAAAAATTATGGGGATGTCGTATCCGATAACCGCGCGCGTGTCCGGCACGTGCGGCATGCGTCAAATAACCGGCAATTTGTCCATCTATCGCTGCCGCCATACTCATCGTTACGGTAATAAACCGATGCTGAATTCGTTGTGCGAGAAAGAGTTCAATGCGGATTTTGGTTTTAATACTGATATCGTAGTACGTGTAAATTATTATAAATGACTTACAAGCGATATGGTGAACGATCGATGGCTATTCATCATAAAATTAATTTCGTCATAATAATTCATTAAAGTGAGCAAAAAAATATCAATAAAAGAAAAAAAAAATAGAGAGCTAGAAATTACACGTCTAAATTTTGTCGAATTTCTACTCGAACGGTCAATACAGAGTTAATAGAACAAGGGAAGTAAAACATTAGGTATGTGTGATGTGAAACGTGTTTGAAATTACTGCAGTAAGCACGTTTATACGTTTAATCATTAAAGTATATTAATTTAATGACATACTTTATAAATATTTGTTAATATCGTTCTGTGTTTTACTATTTGCTTTTCATTTTTCAGCATAACCGTATTTCATTGAGTGTTTTGTTATTTATATAAAATATATTGTTTTTTCTAAAAGCTTTTGTCATTATTACATCCTAAATCATGTCTATGAAGTATGCACACTTCAACATTGACAAAACTATACGTTAATATTATATTTATATATTTAAATAATTTAATATCATTTAAACCATTTTTATTTTATATTTGCTTAACTAGATGTATTTTTCAAACAATTGTTATCAATAATAGTTCCATATTGTTAATAAATAATAAATGCAATATAATTTTTTTAAATGTTATTAGGTTTGTAAGTTCCTATATAACACATATATTGCACCTTTATCTGACAATAATTTCTGATACAATGAAAATATAAAAAATAATACTTTTAATACTTCATAACTATTTTTAATTCAGGAAAATTTTCAATTTATTTAAAATTAAATATTTTACATTCCTATGTCATAAGATATTATTCTGTAGTTATAATTGATACTAACGCACATATCACATTAGTATACATACCTCCTACTATGATAATAATAATACCATACAATATGTTAGTCGTATCAAAATTATGTGATATAGTCAATATAGATATTTAAACTGTTAACATGTTTAGAAAATTTAAGAAGTATAGTGTCAAATATCGATATTATATCACAATACAGCTTTAAAACGTTAAAAATACAATATTTAAGTTTTTCTTATTTTTGTAATTGGAAAAATTGATTGATTACACATAAAAAAAAGACATTTTGTATATTATTGTTTTTATTTGAATTTATTGTTACGTGCTCTTTTGAATATTACATTTCCATGCAGTGATTAAAATTATGTTTATTTTATCCTGTACATGTGCATGTAATATACAATGCCCCAATTTAATGTATGTGATTTGTACAACAATGAGAATTATTTTAGCTTTATTTTTATGATTTCAGTTGATTTAAAATACCACAACAATGCTGTAATAGATACTTTTGATAATAAATTATTATTTGAGTAAGCTACATGCTTGATAATTTAACAAAATACTGTTTTAATGTATACTGTTGAAATTACTAACTTAATATCAGTTGACATTTAACATTTATCACATACATTTAGTTTTAAGATTTTAACCATATGTTTATAACTTAAATTATTTTATACATAATGTGTTAGTTATGAAGTAAACTAAATAAACTTGTATATGAATACAGAATAAAAAAAAAATATATTTTTGAATATATTTGACCTTCTTATTCTGAACAAATTATTTTTTACGCTACTGATATACGGCTGATAGTTAATGCATGCAGATCGATTTATGATCATCAATGAAATTACCCATTTCTAAGTATCACTTATTATTTATTGATTTATCGTGGGAAACAAAGTATTAAATAATTAACTAACAAGCTGACTTATCAAAATACAACAGGTAATAACAAAGGTCAATTGTTACACGCATGGATTATTAGATCTAGTATAGGTACACAACTGTTGCTACGTGTTTTTATAATCTGTCGACGCAATATTTACCTCCGAAAACTATTATACAATAGTGATATTTACTTATCAAAAATTAGCAATCAAATTCACAGCAGGCAATTGTTGAATGAAAAACGAATTGTATCAATACAACGAGGGAAAGTCTAAATGAAAATACAAAATAATCGATATGGTATAGACTATAGGACATCATCTGTGATATTTTAGGCAGCAGTATAATACTATTATAGACGGGCGATGGTAAATAAATAATTTATATATTACCTACGCGGTTTAATTTTCGTTCATTCATCAATGACGTAGCGAAGTACGTCTTTTCGACGGGATCGCGAATAAACAGCTATGCAGGGGACATATATATAATATATATATAAATTATTATACTATAGGCTATAGCTATTATAAAGGTTTGAGTATCGCCCACAATGTTCGACGAGGTAATTAACAATTACCACACTGTGGCGTTGCGGTGGGGTTGATGACGACAAGGTCGGGTGCACCGGATACCGTATATGTTGCTATATAAATTACAATAATATTATCAACATCGAGCTCGTGGGAGAAAAACATCGTTTAGAGAGGTTTTAATTAAAACCCGTTCGAGCAGCAACTGGCGATTATGATCGTAATCCGTTTGTTGTAGTTGTTGTTATATATAATATTAATATATTATCGAAAACACACCGGCGCGGCGTTCATTACGATTATAATATTATTATTAGTGTTATTAAAGGTTCAGGTAGTCAAAAGCACGCTTTTAAAATATCGTTTTTGCGATAAAATTGACGCGTCTCGAAAAGTGGCGATGGCGGTAGACACTAGTCCAAAAAAGTTTCACCAGCTTAACCGACCGGAACGATACGACTGCGCAGTGCACTTCCAAACATTTTTAATTTACACGGCACATTTTGAACTTTTTTTTTGCCGTTTTCGTTTGTTACGGTTTGGTATTTCACGGAAATGTTTTTTTAATTTTTACTTTTATATACGAGGAAGCACATTTTTCCCTACAATCCCATGCCGCAATCATACCCCAACTTGAATTTCATGATCTGATGGTGACAATGATCAGTCGGTCGGGTAATTATTAAATTTTAATGTACTTAGAGTGTTAAAAAATAATAGTCATAAAAGAAAGCAATTGGTATGAAAGTATGATTTTTATTGTTATTTGTTAAAGTTCAAAAAGTTTGTCTTCCGTGAATATCATACTATGCAGTATGTATATTATGATGAGGTTTTTCATAAGCACCAATGTTACTTTTTTATTAACCAAAAATATATTTTTACTTATAGGTATTTAATTATTGGGAATATTTCCTCAATGAACAGTGAAGAAAATAATATAATATTATTTTTTACACACACAACAAACAGAAAAATAAGTGTTACTTACATCTTTTTTTTTATAAAAATAAAAATTATAAACAGCATTATTATGAACTAATACATAAATACATAAATAAATGAATAAATTATTATAACTTTTTATCACATTATATTTATTTATATACGCTATATAAAAATATTAATTTTAGTTTTTTTAAACGTATAATTCAATGTAGCTTTTGAAAATCATAGTTATTTAAATAAATGTTGAACAATTGTACGTAAGTGATTCTTCACAACATTTATAAGAATTACTCCGATTCAATTATATTTCATTAAATGGAAATTATTGACAAGAAGTTATTAAATCACTATGATTTTTGAAACAGTTTTGTTGGATGACGATTTAATTAATTATAAATATTTTATTCAAGAGGTTAAACAATGTTATATATCAATGAATTGAGTTTTGGATTAAAAAATCAAAAAATGAGTTGCAAATCTGATTATTATATATTATAAACTATAATCATTAAATATAAAAAATACGTTATATTAATACCCCTACCGCCGAAACCATACTGACTTGTGCATATAGCTCGATGATATAAGCTTTGTTACAATCTTAAATTATATGTTCATAATAATTGATAGAAAAAATAATTATTATTTATCATACCCACTAATCACAATAATATTACATTCTACATAAAAGTTAAAAGTAAAACACATACTATTTATTGCTTATAGACCTGAAACGGCTGTAACTAACACTTTGTAT